CACCAGGCTTCCCTGTTCATCACCAACTCCCAAAGCCTGCTCAAATTCATGTCCATTGAGTCAGCGATGCCATCCAACCATCTCATCCTCTGTTGTCCCCCTCTCCTCCCACCTTCAATCTTTCCCAGCATCAGGGTCTTTTCCAGTGAGTCAGCTCTTCATTGTTTCCCCATCTATTTTCCATGAAGTGATGGGACCAGATGCCACGATCTTTGTTTTTTGAATGCTAAGTTTTAAGCCAACTTTTTCACTCTCCTCTTTCACTTTCATCAAGAGGCTTTTCAGTTCCTCTTTGCTTACTTCCATAAGGGTGGTGTCATCTGCATATCTGAGGTTATTGATATTGTGAGATGAATGCAATTGTGTGGTAGTTTGAACATTCTTTGGCATTGCCTTTCTTTGGGATTGGAATGAAAACTGATCTTTTCCAGGCCTATGGCCACTGCTGAGTTTTCCAAATGGCAGGGGAACTCTAATTGGTAGTATTTGCCAGTTTCATTTATACAACAGAAGCTAGCAAATGCTAATAAGAGTTCTCCTCCCTGCTATGCTGTTCTTAATCACTCAGTCATGTCCGACTCTTTGTAACCCCATTGACTATAGCCTGCTAGGCTCCTCTGTCCATGGGATTCTCCAGGCAAGAATACTGGAGTGGGTAGCCATTCCCTTCTCCAGGGGATCTTTACAACCCAGGGATCGAGCCCAGGTCTCCCGCACTGCAGGCAGATTCTTTACCAGTGAGCCACTAGGGAAGCCCAAGAATACTGGAGTGGGGAGCCTTTCCCTTCTCCAGAGGAACTTCGAAACCCAGGGATCATGCCGCGGTCTCCTGTATTGCAGGCAGATTCTTTACCAGCTGAGCTACCCAGCAAGCCCCTCTCCTCCCTGCTAAGAGGTGTTAATCCCTTACCACTTACTAGCACACCACAGCTGGTTCTTCTGTGCACACCCTGCCAGGTCAGGCCTCCTCTATGCTTCTGGGAACATGTCACATCTCAGCCAGAAAAACCTCCAAATTCAACACTCCCCTACAAGATCCCAAACAGGAAATGCAGGAGGCAGACAGCAAACTAAATAAGAATCTGACAGGAGTTTTGAATTATGCTGAACCTTCACTGACTTCCCTCTGTTTTCTAATTGCTTATCCTGAGAATCCAGGTCTGGAGAAAAGCTTTTTCTCTGTGCTGAGTGTTCTTTGTTCTCTCTGAGCTGAGTTCTCAGAGAAGGAGAAGGGCTGTGGCCAGACCCCACATTCAAGGCACTAGCCAAGCAGCTTTCCACCTCGCTGGATAGCTGAATTCCCAGCCCACGTGTAGGAAGTGCTCTGTGTCGCAGAAAGAATCCACAAGATGTATGAAATAGAGGTAAAAGAGTTCAAAGGGAGGAAAAGAGTGCTTTCTCCACAATCTTAATTTTTATCTTCCTAGATGGCCTTGGACAACAACATCCTCTATCCTATACGAGCCGTCAGAATTCAACACCTTATGTACAATTTTGCCATCACCATAGATATTCTCCTCAGATACCTTTCTAGTTATGCTCCATCTGTCATACCCTTGACCTCATTATATCTTCTCTTAAATATCACAGCCATTGCCAGATCTTCATTTTTTTTTTAAATTTTCTCTCTCCTCCCTCTCAGCTGGGAAGTGAAGGTAAGCATCTCAACCACTGTCCTTCAATTTCCCTGTATTCCCCTGGACCATGTTGGCTAGTTGAACCTTGGAAATGATCAATTCACAAAAAATAAAAGTTATACAAGAAGGAAAGTGTAACTATAGCATATGGCAAGGCTGAGAACAAAATTTATATAATCATAGGGAAGTCACGTTTTGAAAGTTAATTTAATCAAAACCTGCAAAACAACTAAAGCAGGAGGGTGCTTATAGGGAAAATTTCCTGTGTTTTCCCCTTGCTCTCTCTCTCTCTCTCTCTCACACACACACACACACACTCCCCTTCCTCTCACACACACACTCTAATGTCTTGTGTGTGGGGTTTTCCTCCTCACCAAGCAGTTCTCTATGACACCAGATGGATGCTCCATAATTCCATTCTGACACTAACCAAAGTTAAAGCTAGCACACACCCCACAGTCCCACAAGACTGTGCCCCACCTCAAATGGCAGTCACCACGTTACTCATAACTTCTGTCTGACTTGGCTACAAATCAGATCTTCCCATGACTGCTCCTCTCCTTAGATTTGATCAGTGGCTAGAACAGTTCATCAAATTCAGAAACAGTTTTACATATATTGGCTTATGATTTATTAAAGGGTATTGTGAAAGACATAGATGAACAGTCAGATGAAGAGATACGTAGAGCAAGACTTGGAAGGATCCTGCAAAGAGTTGGACACGGCTGAGCAACTGAACTGAACTGAGCATAGGAGTTGGAGTGTGCCAACCTGGAAGCTCTCCAAACCCTACACTTCTGGGGTTTTTATGGAGGCCTCTCAACTGGTAAAGAATCCACCTGCAATGCAGGAGACCTGGGTTCTATCACTGGGTTGGGAAGATCCCGTGGAGAAGGGAACAGCTACCCACTCCAGTATTCTGGCCTGGAGAATTCCATGGGCTGTATAGTCAATGGGGCCACAAAGAGTCAGACGTGACTGAGCAACTTTCACTATCATCATGTAAGGATGATGAATCATTAACTAGCCTCCAACCTCTTCCTCTTCCTGAAAGATGGGAGGTGAGACTGAAAATTCCAAGCTTCTAACCAAGGCTTGGTCTTTCCAGTAAACAGCCCCCATCCTAAGGCTCTCTGGAGCCCACTCAGAGTCATTTCATTAAAACAAAAGATGCCTATTTGCACATCATTGTCTATACCTAGCTACAATGGAGGCAAGGAAAAGAAACCTTTCCATTGGGCCCATGATTATCCAAAATAAAACCAGGATGTTGATAGAAAAGCAGAAAGGGAAAAGGGATTGGAGAGGTAAGCAATCAGCATTCTCTGGCACATTGATCATTTCCCAAGGTTATGTGTGGCTTTCTGAGTCTGTGTTCTTAACCCTTAAATAAATATGACCCAAAGGTAAAAAATTAATAAATAAATAAAACAAAAGATGCTCCTATCGCCCAGGAAATTTCAAGGGATTTAGGAGCTCTGTGTCAGGAACCAGACAGTGAACCTAAAGCAATGAAACAAGGATTTCCTTTCCCAGATTCAGCTACTGATTCTTCTTGGGATGACAGCCCCTGCCTTCTTCTCCCAGGGCAACCTTCCTGGGATCAGCTCCCAGCCTCCAACACTGGCACCCCATGAATCCTTCTCTTCCCTGCTCCCTTTTCCTCTGCCTCCTCTTCAGTCTGTCTATGTTTTTTTTAAAACTATTTATTTGGTTCCTCCAGGTCTTAGTTGCAGCATGTGGGATCTAGTTCCCTGACCAGGGATTGAACCCAGTCCCCCTGCATTGGAAGCACAGAGTCCTAGCCATGGGACACCAGGGAAGTCCCCCACCTACCCTTTCTAAGATTCCTCTTTTCTCTCCTGTCTCCTCCTCAAGTCTCATCTTCCAAATCAAGTAATGCACATAGAGGCTGGCAGCTTTGACAGACCTTTGTTGGCAAAGTAGTGTTTCTACTTTTCAATATACCGTCTAGGTTGGTCATTTTTCTAGTAGTCATGAGAGTTGGACTATAAAGAAAGCTGAGCCCTGAAGAATTGATGCTTTTGAACTGTGGTTTTGGAGAAGACTCTTGAGAGTACCTTGGACTGCAGGGAGATCAAACCAGTCAATCCTGAAGGAAATCAACCTGAATATTCATTGGAAGGACTGATGTTGAAGCTGAAAAGCCAGTATTTTGACCACCTGATGCAAAGAACTAACTCATAAAAAGACCCAGATGCTGGGAAAGATTGAAGGCAGGAGAAAGGGACGACAGAGGATAAAATGGTTGGACGGAATCCTCGACTCGATGAACATCGGTTTGAGTAAGCTCTGGGAATTGGTGATGGACAGGGAAGCCTGGCATGCTGCAGTCCATGGGGGTCTCAAAGAGTCGGACACGACTGAGTGACTGAACTGAACATAGAGGCTGGCAGACGGAATGAAGGAATGTTCAGGATCGCGGAGGCCTGGGGCAAGCCAGAGGGCACAGGGCATCCACTCCAGCCTGTGGCTACACAGGGATGAAGATGTCCTGTTGCCAGATCTTTCCAGTTATCTGGAGGTCTGTGGCCTTCTGCTGTCTATGAAACTCCTTGTTTTTAAATGTTGGCAACTAGTTCAAATATTTATGGTTAAACCCAGAGACTGAATCAATAAAAAAAACTGAGTTCCCCCAGTCCCTGAAGAAGTTTCATTCAAACCTTGACAAGAGATGAGGAAAATACTTATATTCTAGTCTTCTAGGGCAGCTAACTACAGAAGGTGGGATAAAATCTTTAAATTTCCTTGTTTATTCTGGTGAATTAAAATCTGGGACTTGTAGCTGGAAATTGGCCGTTTTAATTCAGTAGAAGAAATACCACCACCAAAAAGATTTCACACCCTTGCAGACTGAGCACCTCTTCCCTGCTCCCCCACTCAAAGCTGGCTCTTCCCTAGACTTGTCATTGACAAAACCTCTGCTGCACTGCTCCCCATCTCACTCCCAGCACTGTCTCCTGCCAAAACTCCACCAACATACACAGATTCTCCATCAGCAACCTCCAGGCAAGAATCAGCTACCTCCCTTTCCTTTCCAGGAGTATTGTTGGGTTCTTCCCAGAAAAGTTCCAGGGCAATTCTCTGAAGTTTCATATACACTATCCTATTTCATTAAGTCTTCTTTTTCTCCTTTAACAAATATTTCTGAACTGAGGCCAGCCCTGCTCCACATTCATGCCCAAGCAGCACCTGCCTCTCCCCAAGGGCTGGATGGGGCTCTGCACCAGCTAGAAGCCCCAAGCATCTGTGGGTGTTGCATCAAACCAGCCCAGCCTTGCCTAGTCATCTGTGGTGGCAGCTTGCTAATAAAAGCCTGAGGCAGAGAGGAGAGAGGCTTGTCTGAGAGGCAGCTGCGCTGACAGCACCAAGAAGCAGCTGGAAATCCCTCACTGGCCTTGCTGCTACAGCCCTGCAGCTCAGTGCTCAGTCATGCTACGGACAGGCTTCCAGGTGGCAGTGATACTTGGTCACCATGGAGCTCTTCCTGGTCTCACCCACCTCCTGCCCAGATTCAACCCTGCCTCAGCCTTCGGATCCTCCACGGAGACCCTGGTGAGTGAGTTCTCAGTTCAACCAAATGCACAGCCTTCTGGAGCCCATGGATATAGTTGTTGTTGTTGTTCTGTTGCTAAGTTGAGATTCTTTGCAACCCCATGGACTGTAGCCCGCCTGGCTCCTCTGTCTATGGAATTCTTCAGGTAAGTGAGCTGCCATTTCCTTCTCCAGGGATCTTCCTGACCCAAGGATCGAACCCAAGTCTTCTTCATTGCAGGTGGACTCTTTACCATCTGAGCCACCATAGGGACCAACACAAATCTCCTCTTCCTAGATCATGGCCAGGGTAGGTGAGCCGCTTATTGGGAGCTATTTGATTTGGCAAAGGAAACCAAGTAGCCCAGATCCCAAACTAAGACCACCAGGTTACTTTCCTCCTGATCTGAATCTTGCGTGGCCACCAATCACTTTCCTCCTACGGGGCTCAGACTGTCGGGACATCCCCAGGCGAAGGATGCTGTGTGCGGCCTTAGCAAACAACTGGCCTGTTGCCCATGGTTGCAGTTGGTGCATGAGCACCTGGTGCCACAGAGGACTCCTCTTCATCCCATAGAAGGTACTGCACCACTGCGGGTGCCCAAAACATGTTTCAAAAGAGCCCCCACTCCCCACTTCCCCATTGTTACTCACTTCAGGGTGAGGACAGCTATGGACAGAGCCGAAGTAGCCCCTGAGGTGAGTAACAGTGGTCCTCACCTGTGGTCCCACTCCCGTCCCCACCCCCATCCCCCCCACCCCGAGTTAGACAGTTGCTCAGAATGAGCTCTGAGCTTCCCAGGTGGCATTAGCTTCCCAGGTGGTAAAGAACCCACCCGCTATGCAGGAGACAAAAAAGACGCAGATTCGATCCCTGGGTTAGGAAGGTCCTCTGGAGGAGGGCACAGCAACCCACCCCAGTATTCTTGCCTGGAGAATCCCATGGACAGAGGAGCCTGGCAGGCTATGGTCCATGGTGCCACAAAGAGTCGGAACCAACTGAAGCAACTTAGCACACACAAAAAGAGCTCTAGTCCAACCATCAGCTCATATGCTCATAAGTTTGGCAACCTTAGCCATATTTCCTCAGTTTTCCCATCTGTACAGTGGGGCTAATACTAGCCATTTTCAGCCTCAAAGAACAGCTCCAGGTGGTTTTCATTTTTGTTCTTGTTTGGCTGCGTTGGGTCTTAGTTGCAGCACATGGGATCTTCTTTGCGACATGCAGGATCTTTCATTCCAGCACTCCGATTCTCTAGTTGTGGCACAGGCTCAGTACTGTGGCACACAGGCTCAGTACTGTGGCGCATAGGCTTAGTTGCTCCTCAGCATGTGGGATTTTAGTTCCCTGACCAGGGATTGAACCTTCAACCCCTCCATTGCAAGGCAGATTCTTAATCACTGGACCAGCAAGGAAGTTCCTTCTCAGGTTTTAAAGCAGGGCAATTATACTGCACCATCACAGAGATGCTGCCTCTAATTGTCAGCCCCAACGCCTTTCCTTCCCTTCCTTTGCACATTAGTGTCCCCTAGCCTGATAGCTCAGTTGGTAAAGAATCCACCTGCAATGTGGGAGACCTGGGTTCAATCCCTGGGTTGTGAAGATCCCCTGGAGAAGGGAAAGGTTACCCACTCCAGTATTCTGGCCTGGAGAATTCCATGGACCGTATAGTCAATGGGGTCGCAAAGAGTCGGACACGACTGAGTGACTTTCACTTTTCCCCTTGCCTGGTCACTCTCAGGAGTCCCCAAGGGCCATTTTCCTCAACACTGACAGAAGGGATCAAGGAGCCCAAGAACCCAGGAGCTGGGTTACATTATGTACAGATCCCGCAGCCCAAACCACGGGCCACCTTCCAGAAAGCCATCTAGTCTCCCCAATCTTTCCTGCCCAGGTCTCAAGATTCTGTCGGGAGATGACGGAGAGTAAGAATTACGCCCTCCCCAATGCCAGCTGGGGTCCAGACATGCTGAGCCTGTATCATGAATTTCTGGAGAAGACCAAGACCGAAGGCTGGGTCAGATTGCCTTCCTTCGGGTCCAACAGAGACCACATCCAGGGGTTCAAGCTCCCACTAGAGTCATCAGCTAACTCAGGTAAGGCCTGGCCTGAGAGCGGCCCTTGGCATGCACATGCACCAGCCCACTGGAATCTGTTCAGCCAGCCCCTTTTCTGGCAGCCAGGGACTTATCGGGAGGAAACTCACAAGCTCTCTGCCAGTTCTCAGCCAGAAGTTCTTTCTGGCAAGTCAACCCCTCATGCTGCAGCCCCAGGCACATGGATGAGGAAAGCGGCCTCTCAGCCCCCGCCCCCTACTCCCCTCCTCCTGGGGATGAGAGCATGCCCAAGCAACCGCCTCTGCTCCCAGCCCAGAGTACACCCTCCAGAGAACTGCTGACTCAGCCCTCCACCCATCTGCCTCCTCACCAGGGATGCTTGCCTTACTGTCAAGCCTTATCCCAAGTCCCCCTCCCCACCCCACAAAGGTCTGAGGATTCCCCCTTGCCCACTGGAGACCTTCCACACCATCCCTGTTCTGCTAGGCCCAGAGACTCCTGAAACACCCACAGGTCAGAGCAATAGAGCTTTCCACTTTGATCTCTCTGCATGTGCATGGACATGGACAGGTTAACCTGTCTCTCTCACTCACATACGTGTTCTTCCAGCCAAGTGCCAACTAGATGGTCCATTCAGTTTATGGAAAAAACAAAGTTGCATCGAAAATTTTTGAAGATTTTGGTTTTCATCCGAGAGAGATATGGTTCTTCTAGTCACCTTGAGGAAAAAAAAAAATCAGAACTTTGTGGGATTCCTTTGCACTTATTTTTCTGTTCCATATTGTTATTTTGAACAGTATGTGTATTAAATGCCTTACATTTTAATTTTCAATGTTTAAGGTCTCTTAAAGTCTGACTTGTCTATGACCCTACAACTACTCTCAGCCAGGGAACTTCACGAATGTTTCTTCCTCAAGATTCAGGGCTCCCGGAGGACAGGGCTGTGTTCCGCTCAGACCCAGGGCTCCAGAGGACAGGGCTGTTGTCCCCTCAGACCGAAGACCTTGAGGACGGGTCAGTGCCTCACTCTCCAGCTGAAGACTCCCCAAGAGCAGAGCCCGCGTGTCCCCTGGTTCTCTCCTCAACAGTGTGCCGGAGGCCAGCTCCATCTCTGACCCTGCCTCCTGACTGGTCCCCCGGCCTCACACACTCCCTCCTTCAGCTGTGTCACCGCCCATCTCTCCCCAGACAAAAGTGACTGGCGCCTCTTCACCAGGTGTATTGAAAGGGAAGGACAAGGCTACGAGTATGTCATCTTTTTCCAACCATCTGAGAAGAAGTCCATCTGTCTTTTCCAACCAGGACCCTACCTGGAGGGGGTTCCAGGGTAAGATAACGGGCTAACCCCAGCGGGGGACATCTTTGGCTGCTTCCTGGGCTTGGCCAAGGGGGTGGATTGGGCTCGGCCAGCCTCTGGGCTCTGTACCTCTCTCTATGGAGTTTGGTGGAGAGTGGGAGGCACTGGGCTTCAGTCTCATGGTGACAGATGTGGAAGGATATTCTGTCATCTGGTTCAGTCCCCACTGGGCAGATAAGAGACAGTCTCCTTATTCCAGGCCTGGGAATTTTTCAGTAAAAAGGGGCCTTAGAAGCCACTCTGAGAAGGGTGTAGTGGACTCAGAAGATGACAAGATCCGGAGTTAAGGGCCAGACTTCCAGTCCTCCTCTGCCACTGCTTGTATGAAGACCCCAAGCAAGCAAGTTAACCTCTGTCTCCTGGCCTTCAGTCTCCTGGAAAAGGAAATGGCAACCCACTCCAGTATGCTTGCATGGAAAATCCCATGGACAGAGGAGCCTGGTGGGCTACAGTCCATGGGGTCACAAAGAGTTGGACATGACTGAAATGACTTAGCATGCATGCACTTCAGTCTCCTTACCTAAATCTTGGGGCAGTAATATCTACCTCCCAGAATAGCTGACAGATATGATATGAAGGGCCTGTGTGTATGTACTCATAAACCATAAAGCACAATACAGCTATCAGGCTATCTCTCCAAACTTCACCTTTGCCCAGTGGGCAAACTGAGGCGCACAGAGGTAAGTGATCTTGCCCAAGGTAGCACAGGCAGTTAAGGTCACATCCACGACTCTAACCCAGGAGGCGGGACTCCAAGTCCATTGCTTCTTCTGTACTCCACTGCCTCCAAACTGGGAAGGGACCCAGGAAAAAGCTCACACTGGATGTAAATACATTCACGCTGGACATAAATACACACTCAGACAGGCCCTGAGCCTCTTGCTTAAGAACACTGGGTCCATGTCACCAGGTCCGTGTTTGTCTGCCTTCTTGATCCCTGTTCCTGCTTTAGACAGTCACTGAAGGCTAACTGTGGGGTCAGAATTCTTGCAAGGGAGAGGANTCTTGCTTAAGAACACTGGGTCCATGTCACCAGGTCCGTGTTTGTCTGCCTTCTTGATCCCTGTTCCTGCTTTAGACAGTCACTGAAGGCTAACTGTGGGGTCAGAATTCTTGCAAGGGAGAGGAAAGAGGGGAGGAAAGGAGAAACTTAAGGGTCCCAAGACCTTAGAGAGACAGTTGCAGTTAAACAGAATTCAAAGAGATTATTAGATGTCAGCACCTCTGCAGGCCACAGATTCCGACTGCATCCCTTTCGTCCCCTTGGCCATCCTGAAGGTATCTTCCATGGGGACTTCCACATGAGTGCTTGCAGACACTGGGGGACTAGTCAGAGCTCTACCCAGGCACGGGTCCCCTCCCTTATGAAGAGGAAAACCCCCCAAAGAGGCAAGGATAGGGTGGAATGTGGCCTTTGATTTGGGGGCTCATGGAAGTGGGGCTGGAAAGGCAGAAGAGAACCACTCAACACTGAGGCTAGAAGATCGAGGGGATCCAAGAAGGGATAAGCACTGAATTAGAAAAACCCAGGTCAGTTGACCTCCTGTGTGAGGAAAAATCTTGTACTTCCTGCTGTCTTTCTTTCCCGTGAGCTTCCTTCACTCTCACACAAAACACTTCCCTTCTGACACTTAGGTCACCAAATGGCTGGAAGCTCCCCCAACACCAAGCAATTCTCTGTGACACCAATGGGGGGTCCCGCAATAGAACACTGTCTACCTGGAGATAGTGTCAGACCCCACAGGTTAAAGACTCAATCCCACAAGACTGCTTCCACCCTTCTTCAGATGCCAACTGCAAGTGTAGGTNTGTTTCTACCAGCTAACTTGATTCCAGCTTGTGCTTCTTCCAGCCCAGAATTTTTCATGATGTACTCTGCATATAAGTTAAATAAGCAGGGTCAGTACATACAGCCTTAGCATACTCCTTTTCCTATTTGGAATTGGTCTGTTGTTCCATGCCCAGTTCTAAATGTTGCTTCTTGACCTACATAAAGATTACTCAAGAGGCAGGTCAGATGGTCTGATTTACTCATCTCTTTCAAAATTTTACACAGTTTATTGTGATCCACACAGTCAAAGGCTTTGGCATAATCAATAAAGCACAATAGATGTTTTTTTCTGGGATTCTCTTGCTTTTTCGATGATCCAGCAGATGTTGGCAACTTGATCTCTGGTTCCTCTGCCTTTTCTAAAACCAGCTTGAACATCTGGAAGTTCACTGTTCACATATTGCTGAAGCCTGGCTTAGAGAATTTTAAGAATTACTTTACTAGCGTGTGAGATGAGTGCAATTGTGTGGTAGTTTGAGCATTCTTTGGCATTGCCTGTCTTTGGGATTGGAATGAAACTTGACCTTTTCCAGTCTTGTGGCCACTGCTGAGTTTTCCAAATTTGCTAGCATATTGAGTGCAGCACTTTCACAGCATCATCTTTTAGGATGTGAAATAGCTCAACTGGAATTCCATCACCTCCACTAGCTTTGTTCGTAGTGATGTTCCCTAAGGCCCACTTGACTTCACATTCCAGGGTGTCTGGCTCTAGGTGAGTGATCACACCATTGTGATAGTCTGGGTCATGAAGATCTTTTCTGTACAGTTCCTCTGTGTATTCTTGCCACCACTTCTTAATATCTTCTGCTTTTGTCAGGTCCATGCCATTTCTGTCCATATGGAGCACATCTTTGCATGAAATGATGCCTTGGTATCTCTAATTTTCCTGAAAGGATCTCTAGTCTATCCCATTCTATTGTTTTCCTCTATTTCTTTGCACTGATCACTAGGGAAGGCTTTCTTATCTCTCCTAGCTAGTCTTTGGAGCTCTGCATTCAAATGGGAATGTCTTTCCTTTTCTTCTTTGCTTTTAGCTTCTCTTCTTCTCACAGCTATCTATAAGGAGCCATTTTGCTTTTTTACATTTCTTTTTTTTGAGGATGGTCTTGATACCTGTTTTCTGTACAATGTCATGAACCTCCATCCATAGATCATCAGGCACTCTGTCTATCAGATCTAGTCCCTTAAATCCTTTTCTCACTTCAACTGTATAATCATAAGGGATTTTATTTAGATCACACCTGAATGGTCTAGTGGTTTTCCCCACTTTCTTCAATTTTCGTCTGAATTTTGCAATAAGATGTTCATGATCTGAGCCAGTTCCCAGTTTTGTTATTGCTGACTGTATAGAGCTTCTCCATCTTTGGATCAAAGAATATAATCAACTTGATTTCAGTGTTTACCATCTGATGATATTCATGTGAGTCTTCTCTTGCATTGTTGGAAGAGGGTGTTTGCTATGACCAATGAATTCTCTTGGCAAAACTCTATTAGCCTTTGCCCTGCTTCATTCTGTACTCCAAGGCCAAATTTGCCTGTCGCTCCAGGTGTTTCTTGACTTCCTACTTTTGCATTCCAGTCCCCTATAATGAAAAAGACATCTTTTTTGGGTGTTAGTTCTACAAGGTCTTGTAGGTCTTCATAGAACTGTTCAACTTCAGCTTCTTCAGCTTTAATGGTCAGGGCATAGTCTTGGATTACCATGATATTGAATGGTTTGCCTTGGAAATGAACAGAGATCATTCTGTCATTTTTGGGATTGCATCCAAGTACTGCATTTCAGACTCTTTTGTTGACTATGATGGCTACTCCATCATAGTCTTCTAAGGGATTCTTGCCCACAGTAGTAGATGTAATGGTCATCTGAGTAAAAGTCACCCATTCCAGTCCATTTTAGTTCGCTGATTCCTAGAATGTCAATGTTCACTCTTGCCATCTCCTATTTGATCACTTCCAATTTGCCTTGATTCATGGACCTATGAGACACAGATTATTTGTATTCACAATTCACAGTGAGAAAACTAAGGCTTAGAAAGGTTTAGCAACTTGCACAAGATCAAACAGGTAGTGAAGGTGGAGCAAGGAGTCAAACCAGGCGGGTGTGGCTGCACGGCCCCCAGGACTTTCCACCAAAGGGAGCAGAAGCAGGGGATTGTGGGAAGCCCGCTGGTGGCAGGCACAGCAGGGTAACCCGTGATCGCCCAGCAGGGAAGCTGACCTGGTTGGTGGAGATTCGGCGTCACACTGTTGAAAGTCAGAAACTGGAATCTCTTTCGAGTTATCTGCGTTCTAAAACTCTGTGCCTTTCTATTTCCCCCAACTTAACCAGCAATGGAACTTTGTCATGAAGAAAGTCAGGTTACACAAGTTAGAACGAGAATTCGCACCCTTTAAATAAAGCAAGTGTTTGCAGCATCTACTGAAGCTGGCTCTCAGCTTTCCGCAGGCAGCGCCGCTCTGGAGTCCATCTTGTCATCACTGAATAGGTCCTAGGTCAAGTGTCATGGTTACCCATCTTGAAAATGTGGGCTCAACACTGGCCATAGTGACTGGTGAGGTGAGAGCTGCCGAAGGTCACAGTTTAGAGACTAAAACCCAAAAGTTCAGGGATTTTTCCATCCCCTAAAGGAGTGCACCTTTCCAAACTAGGGTAATTGCTACCAGCAGTTAGGTGATGAATCCAAAAAAAGGTCTCTTCTATTCATTCTATCAGAAAAAAATTTTTTTCCTGGTGAAATACAATAATGGTATCAGTGGTTGCTAACACAGGCTGTAGTAACATGAAAGAAAAACCAGCTGATTTTTACTGGTTTGACCAGACAGAATCCAGATCTGTTTCCTTTCCTTTCCTGGGGAAAGATGGAAGTGGTGGTGGTGGGGGTGGTTTCTGTCCCTGGCCTTACTCCCTGCCTTCTCCCCCAGGTTTGCCCACGGAGGGTCCCTGGCAGCCTTGATAGATGAGACCTTTTCTAAAACTGCTTACCTGTCTGGAGAGGGGCTGTTAACAGTAAATTTCAACATCAGGTTCAAAAAGTAAGTATGGGGTACTTCCCTGGCAGTCCAGTGGTTAATACACCCCACTTCCTATGCAGAGGGTGTGGGCTCAATCCCTGGTCAGAGAACTAAGACCCCATGTGCTATATGGTGTGGCAAAAAAATTTAACAAACAAGAAATCAGGTTTTTTTTTTTTTAAGTAAGTACAGATCTTTGGGGTGTTGGCCATTGAGGGGGCAGTTGGGGTGCAGAAGACTGGTCATGCTCCTTCCCCAGCCACACAGTCCCTTGGTCCCCTGGCCAGATCAGAACCTCTGCCATGCAACTCCGGTTGCTGGCAGATGGGCCCTGATCCGGGAGCCACTTAAGTCCTTGAGGCAAGGTAAGATGAAGAGGAGTATGGGGGAAGACAGAGAGTTGAGGGGCAGGGCCCAGGGCTTACATGAGCGGGGCTATGCCACCTCCTCTCCCAGCTTGATTCCCCTGGGCTCTCTGGCTGTGCTGAATGTCAGCGTGGAAAAGATCGAGGACCAGAAGGTGTACCTGTCCTGTGTCACCCAGAGCAGAGACCAGCAGACAGTTTACGCTAAAGCCTCAGGTAAAGAGGACCTGAGCCCCAGCCCCTGGCCCTGTCCTGCTGATGCCATGCCCGGGACAAACAGAAGGGGAAATGCTAAGGATCCAATCCCAAGGTGGGCTCCAACTTTTTAGAGTGGGATTGGGACCTGCTGTACACACAAAGTGAGGAAAAATCGAATTAGGACTTTTTTTTTTCTGTATATGCGTAGCCCAGCATGTCTCACAAAGCCAGGACCCAGGCACTGAGTAACTGGGTACCAAAGCTCTGAGCACCCCATCAGCTCCTGCCATCCATGCTCTTGCCCCTGCCACTTGGCTCACCCTTCTCTTGCAGGTACTTTCCTCCAGATGCAGCTGGAAGAGGATTCATCTCAACACTAGACACAGTGCCTTCAGGAGAGCCTACCAATGACCACCTTCCCTACCGGGGACCCCCTGCAGAGCAGGGGGGGTGCCCAAGAAGTAAACGGTGACGTGAGGGAGGGGGTGCTTCCCTTGCATAAATAAAGTCTCACAGGCCTGTTCTCAGTCCAAGACGCTCCTATAGTTGAAACTCAAAATTCTCCCAGGGCCTCCCACATGCTCACTTTCCCATTCAGCACCAAGAGGAGCTGTGTACTGAGGCCTGCCAGGTGCTGCATGAGGCGCCAAGCACACAGTGATGAAAGACAAGGCCCTTGGTCTCAGCATGCACGGCGCTGGGCGGGGAGCACAGCACCCCATCAGATCCTCCCACCTCACCGAGGCCCCGGTTATGACACAAAGGGAGGAGGGGTCAGTTTTACTCTAGGAAAGCAATCAGAGGCTTTCTAGAGGAAGCGGTGCTTGAACTGGGTCTCAAAAGTTAAGTGGTGTCCACCAGGCAGGCAGGGGAGAGGAGGATATTCTGAACAGGGGGCAAAGATACAATGACTTTGGAGAACAGCAAGGTGTTGAGTGGGGCAGGAGTTTAGGAAAAGAGAAGGGGACAGGGCAGGTGCCTGGAAGGCACCATGGAAGGTGCCTTAAACGGTGCAGTGGAGCTTGAACTTTGTCTTGTAGGCAACAGGGATCCTTTAAAGGATTTGGGCTGGGGCATGGCATAAAGTTTTGTTTTTTGGAAAGATGACTGGTGACAACAAGAGGTCAGCAAGACTAAAGATGGGAGCACTGGTTAGGAGACCCCTGTGGGGCTCCCAACAAGAGACAGTAAGGACCTAACATGGTTCAAAGTGATGAAGATGAGAGATATGAAAATGTTGCAAAGAGTACAGTTTCTGGCTTGATGGTTCCAGGTGGCATCACTGGGCATACAGGGGAGCAGGTTTGCAGTGGAGGGAGATACTGAGGTCAACTTCACACAAATTGAGCTTGAAGTACCCATGGAACATTCACCACAAGGGGAGCAGCAGCAGGAGCCCTGGATATTATCATTTGGAACTCAGAATTGATTCCATACTGACTCAATCTGTAAGTCATCAATATAAAAACTGACATGGAATCCCACGGAATGGATTATGCAGAACGAAAGTGAGGAGGAGCTATGAAGCATGAGAGGGACAAGATGACACAGGAAGGAAGGATGGGGAAAGGGGTCAATGATGGAACATGTGGTCACACTAAGGCTTAAAGCAGGGACAGAGAATCAAACACCCACTAAGAGGCCAAGAATAGGACAGGTGGGACCCCCGTTAGATCAGCAGTATCAAAGGCTATAGAGAAAGCAGACAAGAATTAAAAAGAGGCCTTTGGACTTGGCAGTAAGGAAGGTGATGGTCTTTTTTGCCAGGAGGTAGGAGCAAAATCTAGATTGTGGTAGATGAAAAACTGAATGGGAATGACAAACTGAATCGGGATGAGTCTTTCTAGGAATTTTGTTGCTATTACATTATTTAAAGAAAGAGAGTTAAGTGTATTGAGGAGAGAGGTGTCATCTTGCAGAATAGCCATCTGGTCTTAGAGATGGATCAAGAGCACAAATGGAGGGACTTCCCTGGCGATCCAAGGGATTCTTAACCAAGAATCCACCTGCCAATGCAGGGGACATGGGTTTGATCCCTGGTTCTGGAAGATCCCACGTGCTGAGGGGCAACTAAGCCTGTGGGCCACAACTACTAAAGCTCTGGAGTCCACAGGTGGACACATGCGGAGACAGAAGAACATCAATGTGATTCTGAGACCAAAAGGAAGGAGTTGGAGGGTGGGACAGAGAGGGATTAGAAATTGACAGGGATTAGAGGTTGACAAGAGCACCTTGACTTCCTCAGTGAGATAGGAGGCAAGGCCACCAGTGGGGAAAGAGGTGTGGAGGAAAGGCAATGATTTGCATAAGCCACAGTGAGGATCAGGACAAAAAATTGACCAATCCATGGGGCTAAGGCATGCTGAAGGCCCAGCTGCTGGTGAAAGGTAGGCCTCTGGAGTGGCACCAACCTGGAGTGAAAGGAAGGTGTGAAGCAGCCAGCAAAACCAAGGGGCCATGGCAGGCGCATCAGGTGAGAACAATGGTAAAGGAGGAAAAAGACTGATATGGCTGGTGCCCATTTCTAAGGAGGAAAGGTTTGATGTGAGAACAGCTGTGTCATTGTTCAGTCGCTCATTGGTGTCCAACTCTTTGTGACCCCATGGACTGCAGCACGCCAGGCTTCCATGTCCGTCACCAACTCCCACAGTTTGCTCAAACTCATGCCCACTGAGTCGGTGATGCCATCCAGCCATCTCACTTTCTGTCATCCCCTTCTCTTCCTGCCTTCAATCTTTCCCAGCATCAGTGTCTTTTACAATGAGTCAGCTCTTCACATCAGGTGGCCAAAATATTGGAGCTTCAGCATCAGTTCTTCCAATGAATATCAGGGTTGATTTTCTTTAGGATGGACTGGTTGCATCTCCTTGCAGTCCAAGGGAATCTCAAGCGTCTTCCCTAACACCACAGTTCAAAAGCATCAATTCTTCGGCACTCAACTTTCTTTATAATCCAACTCTCAATCCATACGTGACTGGAAAAACCATAGCTTTGACTACATGGACCTTTGTCAACAAAGAGACATCTCTGCTTTTTAATACACTGTCTAGGTTGGTCATTGCTTTTCTTTCAAGGAGCAAGCATCTTTTAATTTCATGGCTGCAGTCACTGTCCACGGTGATTTGGAGCCCAAGAAAATAAAGTTGGTTATTGTTTCCATTGTTTCCCCATCTATTTACTGTGAAGTGATGGGACTGGATGCCATGATCTTAGTCTTTTGAATGCTGAGTTTTAAGTCAGCTTTTTCAGTCTCTCACCTTCATCAAGAGGCTCTTTGATTCCTCTTTGCTTTCTGCCATAAGAGCAGTGTCATCTGCCTATCTGAGGTTACTGATATTTCTCTGATAAGTCATGTCCAACTCTTTGCAACCCCATGGACTATAGCCCACCAGGCTCCTCTGTGTATGGGATTTCCCAGGCAAGAATACCAGAGTGGGTTGCCACTTCCTTCTCCAGGGGATCTTTCCAACCCAGGAATCAAAACCCCATCTCCTGCATTGGCAGGCAGACCCTTACCACTGAGCCACCTGGGACACCCTTTATTACGTATGGTGATGCCAAATGCTGAAACAGATAAAGCTTTGCGTCTCCATAGTCTAACCCTTTTTGTAAATAGACTCTAGGTTTCATTAATGTTAGGTCTAGTGTTTGGTTTTTAGCACGCATTCAGGAACCTGACTGACAAAAGCTCTGTCATCTTCAACATGCAATTTCCAAAATCATCCTGGGGTGATGCCTAGTTGCCAAATGAGAGAAGCGAGAGTCACAGAGAGGTTTTCAGAACCAAGCCTCAAAGTGTCTCCTCAGTCACAAGACTCCACCAAACTGCAAGGGAGGTTAGCTGGAAAATATGATCTAACTCCATGTTGTGGAAGAAAGGGAAATGGGGTTGGTAAGTAGCTAGCCACCACTGCCTCCATTTGAAAGGAGAATCAGCAGAGGAGGGTGAGTCTGTGTCCAAACTCTCATCCTGCCAAGTAAAGTATTCAAATTCAGGGGTTCGGGGAAAATAAAGTTTTTGTGGCATGGAACAGGGTCAGAGAGTTGGACACAAATTCAGCAGTGGTGGGTAGATCAGGTTGTCTTTCTAGCAACTAGACCACAAACTTCCTAAGCCATCAGTCTTGAATGACAAGCAAAAGATCAGTTGACATGGATTTGAAGAGACTTGATCCAATGCCTTCCAAAAACTGGAGATTTACTAGAAGCCACAGCCAGAAACCTTTTGGCAGCTATTCCCTCCTGCACATACTCACATAAAAATGCTTTCTCAGGGACTTGCCTAGTGGTCCAGTGGTTAAGACTCTGCACTTCCAATGCAGTGGGCATGGATTTGATCCCCAGTTGGGGAACTAAGATCCCACATGCTGCATGGCACAGCAACGAAACAAAACAAAACACCCTTCTCTTGTGCTTTCACAGTTGCCTTTGAAAACCATTAAATCCAGAGTTTAAATCAGTGTACACCAAAAACCTATTTTCCTTTATTCATGGTCAGTTCAGTTTAGTTCAGTTGCTCAGTTGTGTCTGACTCTTTGCAGCCCCATGAACTGCAGCATGCCAGGCCTCCCTGTCCATCACCAACTCCTGGAGTTTACCCAAACTCATGTCTATTGAGTCAGTGATGCCATCCAACCATCTAGGGCCTAATCTTCATTTAAACACTTCCACGAGAAGAAGGGAAATATATTCCATCTTTCCCATACAGTCAACAAAAGGAAGAAAACCAAAACAGTTGTATTTGGAAACTCAAATACAACTTACTTCTTTCTTTTCTCACTTGGCAACTAGATGTCAACACTCAGGATGACTTTGAAAGCCAAGTGCTGAGGATGGCAGAGGTTCGATACAGCCTGTCACTTCTCTACTGGGGCCAGTTTCTAGCAGAAAACAAGCATAAGCTTAAAAAACATACAGAAGTAGGAGGGTCTCAGACAAGACCCACAGCCAGGCTGGGAGTGACAGCCTTAATTGGAAAAGGCCTGCAGGGCAGGCAGGGATCTCAAGAATGGAAATAAGATCACCAGCTGCTGGAATGCTTCTCTAGCATTGAGATCATTGACAGATGCCTCTCTTCTCACAGAAGACCAAGTATTGCAGCTTTCTAGGCAGAAACAAGGGGAAGTGCCACCTCCACACTTTAAAAACCAATTCCATGTGTAGTGCGTTCATCTGGAATGCAACCACTACTCAGGTAGATGGGGTGGAATCCAACAGGCCATCCAGACAAATGTGATAGCTTATTCTGCTTGAAGCAAAGGATATGTGTTCTCCAAATATCTGAATCAAGGGCCAAAAGAAACCAAAGAGTGAATAAAGCA